TCTATGATGGGAGTTAGCTCTTTGTCTCTCTGGTAGGCATCTGATATTGTATTGGACACGTCATCATTCATTGCTAAAGCATACTCAATAGCATTCAAACGTGGTACTGCATTCTCCACGAGGTTACTCTTATGGAGATCTAGGCGATGCGAAAGGGGATCTGCAGGGTTCTCTCTGCCGGGTCTGTGACGGACTGTGTAGTCATAGTCAGCTAGGAATTCAACCCATCGCGCATCTCTCTTTGTAATGCTTGGTTTTGTTTTCATATAAACTACCGCCATGTTGTCTGTAATGACCTCAAAGTGTTGAAAGAGGTAGATGCGCCAGGTCTTAAGCGCAAACACTACGGCCAATGTTTCTCTTTCTGTAGCTGCATAATTCTGTTCAGCAGCAGACAATTTTCGGCTAGCATAAGCCACTGGATGCCAGGCATCTTCCTCTAGTTCTTGGAGAAGAACACATCCCAAGGCGAAATCGCTTGCATCTGTTACCACTCTGAATGGTCGGTTCACATCAGCCTGCCGCAATAGGGGCGCATTCAACAAGGCATGCTTTAGCGATTCAAAGGCATGTTGCCGAGAGCTGTTCCACTCGAATCGTGCATGTTTTCCCGTTATCTCCTCTAAGTTCTTAGAGAGCGATGAGTATTGATCTATGAATCGCCTAAAATAATTCTCGTAAATCCAAGAAATTGCCTCACCTCTGTGACGGAAGTCGGAGCGGGCCAGACCTTTACTGCGGCAATCTTGTCTGGGTCAGGGGCGATGTGCAGTCCATCGATGCAATGTCCCAGGAACCGCACACTCTCCATGCCAAATTCACATTTTGACCGTTTGCAAAATAACTGGTTGTCCCGGAGCACGCTCACTACCGACCGGACATGCTGCATATGCTCCGACCACGTTTTGCTGAAGATGAGTATGTCATCTAGGAACACGACTACGAACTCCCTCAGATATGGTTGAAGAATCGTATTCATCATGGATTGAAATGTTGCCGGTGCATTGGTGAGACCAAATCCCATGACCCTAAATTGGTAATGCCCAAAGGGAGTGTTAATCGCGGTTTTGGGCACGTCCTCAGCTTGAATGCGAATCTGATTATACCCTGATCGGAGGTCTAGTTTCGTGAAGTACCTAGCGCCCTGTACGGTATCGAATAAATCATCCACATTGGGCAAGCACGCCTTGTTCTTAACAGTTATCTTGTTTAGCTCCCTCCAATGCGTAACGAACCATCAGCTTTCTTGACAAAAAAACACCGGTGCACCAAAGGGGGACTTACTTGGTTCTACGAAACCCTTTTTCAAGAGTTCTATGAGCTGTTTCTTCAATTCCTCCATTTCTGGCCTGGGCAGGTGATAGGCAGGTCGCGATGGGGTTGATGAGCCTTCCTCCAGGCGGATTTCGTGGTCTACAGACCTCTCTGGTGGGAGTCTAGCTGGCAGATCATCCGGGAAAAGATCGTCATAGTCACGGAACATGGCCTTGAGATCTGGGTGCTCGTTCTGAGTGGATTTGTCGGGAGGTTCCTTGCCAATGCCGTCTTTTACGCTGACCCACGCCAGAACACCTTCGTCTCCACTCCTAAGAGCATGCCTAGCCTGACGACCAGATATGAACATCGCCTCCACAGGAGCGGTCGGTTCGCTTTGACTGGGCGACGCACAAGGCAAACCATTCGAGTTCAACCTGACTTCATTCGTCCGGAAGTTTATGTCTGGATTGTTACGCGTTAACCAAGGTTTCCGCAATATAGCGTCATAGCGATGAAGGGGGAACACCGTGAAGGTTTGGTTATCGCTGAAGTCCCCTACGATAACCTTCAATTCATGGGTCGTCTCCATGGCAAACGAGCTTGATGCTCCATCAGCCAGCGTGACATTCAGGTTTTCCGAGCCAATTTCGGTTGGCAGGTTAACTCTCCTGGCAAACTGTTTGGCAATGAAATCATGGGTCGAGCCCGAATCTATTAACATAAGCGCGCGACGACCGTTGATTTTGCCTTCTACACGCAGGAGCTCCTGTTCCGTTTCCACATTGACGCTGGTAACCTGGGCCTCAATAGTTAGTGTAACATCTCGCTTGAAATTGGCTTCGGAGCATGCAGCATCATCGTCAACATCCTCCACAGTGAGGCTACTGAATCGGTTACGGGTAGGGACGGAGCACACACTACACGCAGGTGATGCCTTTTCTTGCTGCGTCAGTAATCGAATCGGCCTTAGTCGACCGTTTGGGTGATCTCGATGCTGCGGGCAATTCTGGGCCATATTGCCTGGTCGACGACATGCGAAGCAGCCCCCCCCCCCTGGGCTCGTAATGTCTCACGTTCCTCGGGGCCTAGTTTTGTTAGCTTTCTGCTACCTGATGGTGGTGCGAATCCCGGCGCGGTCGCCAGTGGTGGTCTGCGCTGAAATCGGCTGTCTGAGGCGACTGCTAGCGCTGACCGAACGGCGGATGACAGTGTAGTGGGGTGTTCCTTCACTACCAAGGTCCGCATGTTACCGTGCAGGCCGTTGACAAATAGCAAGGCTCTGGAGAGTTCGTCAAGTTCCGGCACCTGTAAACTTAGCCGCGAAAACTCCGTTACGTACGATTCAATTGACCCACGCTGTTGGATAGAGAACATATCCAACCGCACTCTTTCCCCGTCATAGTGCGGGCCATACACTCGCGCTAGGGCGCTTTTCAAAGAATGCCAATATGAAAATTGCTCACCTGCTTCTGTGGAGGAAATTAGCCAAAGACGCGCATTCCCAGCGAGGTAGCTAGCCGCAAAGTTAACTTGGCTCTCCGGGTCACCTTGAGGTGAGCACTTCAAGGCTAACTCGACCGTAAATACCCACTCTTTGAACTCGGAAGGGTTGCCATGGAAAACATTTGGTTCTCTGGTAACTCGTTTGACGCTCGGGCTTGTCTGGGAGAGAGAATGCGATCGACAAGGGGCTAGATCCGGAGGACTTGAGCTTGATGTAGCAGGTAATTGATGTCGTCCAACTGTAGCAGCCACGTTGTCCCGAGCGCGGCGGATCTCACGGAAAGCGGCGTATAGCAGAGCAGTAGCGGCCAGGAGCACAAGGCAAGTCAAAGGGGAAACGATGATCTCAACCATCCTCAAGCTACCAGTGTAACAGTATAGACTTGATTGATTGGAGAATTCCCCGAATGATGTTCAAACCAGAGGTTATAAAGCAAAAGAAAGGCGAGAACCGCAGGAGTGGGACAAGTAGGAACACAAGGTGTTACCTTAAGACAAGCAAGAAGTGTCAAGGTAAAACTATTACACATACGGTCAGGGTAAGACAGGTGGTGTATGAGGCGGAATTTCCCGTTGTTCGTGGGCACTACGCCGAGCTGAGAGCATACACATGGGTGGAAAGGCTGGACAGAGAAAGGACCGGCCGATTTGTCACGTCGGACCCGGTCAGCAATTTGTTGTTGTACAAACTGAGCATGTTCGATGGCAGTGGGGAGGTTGCCAGAGATGATAGATACAGAAGCACCAGAGTGGCCAATGGGGAACCCGTGTTGCAAGCCATTAAGGATAAAGTCAGAGAGGACACGAGTAGAAATACGAGGCTAAAGAGTCATTAGGCGGGCTATGCACAGAGGCGTGGGGAGACTACTTCGCTGCGACGGGCTTGTCCGTCTGGCGGGGTCCCCGGCGACCGTCGTTGGTGCAGCGAGCGGTGGGATGACCTCGGTCACCGCAGGTTGAGCAGACGTGCAAGTGTTTACAGGGCTGGTGTTGGCATGGGCGGCCACGGTTGAAGTTGAGGCAGATCTGGCGGGTGCTGCCCGCCCCGGCCAAAAATGGCTGAGTAGGACGGCTGGTATTGGTGCCAGCTGGAGCATGTGGCCGTACTGTGGGCAACAGTCACGGTTGTGGTGCATTGTGCAGCGCGGACATGATGGTCGGGGTGCCCGGATCAGGTGCAGGCTCCCGAGGCTTTGGTCGATTGCGTCCCAACGAGGCGAGGTTGTTGCCACCGCTGCACGGAAGGCACGGTCATACCCCAGTACAGCTGCTGGTTGGCAGTAAAAGATAATGTGCTGGTACGTCACCAGCTCCAGTGCTCGGAATGGCACATATTTCAGTGTGCAGGCCATGTAGATTGTGTAGGATTCCAGCCAGGCAGTGAAGTCGACAATGGAGCACTTCTTAGTCACACATAAATTGAGGGACACACGCCGGCCCTCTCCGTTGGCGGTACTGAGCTCCAAGGGCTCGGACCCTGCACCCACATTCTCCGGGAGGAGATCCTCCAGCTCAATATATTCGCCGCGTGTGATTTTGTCAAGCAACTTACGCGGGACCATGGGAACATTAGAGCTGGACTAAGGAGTGTTCGCCATGGGCGCTGCGATCGGAGGCAGCGCGGGTTCCATGAGGGAAATGTCCATCGGGCCGGAGTTGACCTGTGGCAGGTGATAGGTGACGGAGTTGGACGCGGTTTGGACCACATCTGCCACTGAGGGGACCGCCGCCTGAGCATGGCCGTCCGGATCCTGGCGAGCTGAAATTCGTTCCTCAAGGCGCTCGACACGAGTCAGCAGGGAGTGCAGGGCCGTCGACACGGCCGCTGTAACGGAACGTGGATCTAGCCCAGTTGTGAGTAAGCTGGCCGGCTGGGGAACGGCGGACGGGATATCTCCCTGCTCCCCACGGGCATCGCCGGAACGATCGGCCTTATGGTCCGCAGGGGCTCGATTTGGAGTGTCGGCATACAGGGACGACGAGGCGCGCCTGCGACTGGAACGCCTGGGCCCGGGGGCCGACTGCTTACGTACACGGGGCATCTCCGTGAGGAAAGAATTGAGAAAGAAATACACTGCCAATGCGGACAAAGCAAGAACTGAAGTCAAGAACAGTGGACTTCGGAGAACAATGAGCGCGCTGGAGAGTTTGTTGGGAACAGAGCATGCGCCTTCTGTGTTAACATAATTATTGCGCGTGCGCAAAAAATAATTTAACGGTACATGCACAACATGACTTACAGGTTTTGTAATTTGGTTGTGGCGTTGAACAGCCCGGCAGGTAGGTGAAAAAGTTGATTACCTTTCAAATCTCTGGGAGAACAAAGTATAATTTTGATAGGATGGATATCACTTCTTGGAAGAATTTCTTATTACTCTATTTGGCGTCTCAGAGGAGAAAGACAACCTGTTACGAGTTATAACTAGGGATTATTATTATTTATACAAAAGAGAAAGATTATTTTTAAAAGAGTCGGCACTCGAAGAAAGTCTCAACTCGGAACCTGAGCCAGTAATAAAATGTTAAAAAGAGAAGAAACACATGAGAACGAGTTATGCAGCAACTATCCACGACGGTAACGAGATGATAAACGGTCAGAAAGTGCGAAGTGCGAAGTCGACCCCGGTTATAAGTCGACCCCCGTATCCGGAGGTCTCAATTGGCGCGTTTTGAAGTTTTCACCAAAAGAAGCACTACTAACCACTCTCTGCTACTGACACATCAACAAATCATGTAAACATTCCCTATAGGAGGGTAAAAGTTTCCCAATCCTTGAAAAAGGCCAATTAACTGGCAAACATGTGTACACATGGTGCACTCGTGCATGCATTGCAGGTCATTTTTTAAAGATACTGATAGTTCCCGGTTATATGTCGAATCCCGGTTGCAAGTCGACCCCCACCCTTTCTCCTTCTATTTCCAGTCATACAAGGTCGATTTACAACCGGAAAAATACGGTACTTCGAAAACTCAAGTTCCGCTGCCACCTGGCGGGGCCGGCCACGTACAACTCTGCCACTGAGTCTGCACCAGGACTTGCAGCGTATCGGGGGGTCACTCAAGAAACGTGAGCAACTTGAAAACCTCCATGCCATCGCCCAGTCACGACAAGAGTGGAAAGACCTATGCAGCAATGTGATAATAAACATACTTGGTCCGGCTCATCGCAATTGTCGCTTATCTCCCACGCACCTTTTTACAGGTAAAACCCAGTCCAATCACGATATCTAACATACTTGGAGGTTGTGATGGCAAGATCAAAGGAGGCACCAAAGAAAAATGATCGTGACTAGCGCTTTGAATCGCGATGTGTTTGACTTTTTTTGGGAAGAGGGAATCTGGCCAGTCACTGTCTGTGTTGCCAAAAGCCCAGCGCAGCGACCCGAAGACCGGAACTGTGGTAGGGGCAACTGACATCCTGAAGAGCGTGCCAGGCATGCGTGCACGGCAGAGGAGTATGAGCCGCATGAGTGTCATGCTGAAGAAGAAAGGTGTTTTTGATGGGATGCGCCCGGCGGGCGGTTGTTGTTCCTTGCTTGGTGAACCTAGCAGCAGCATTACAAGAGTCGTGGTCAGCGTATCCAGCGGAGCATTTGACAGCTGTCTGCAGAGGCCTGTATGCCCCGAAGGCTTTGTTGAAACACACTGTGGCGACACACAGGTCACACTGCCCACGGTTCCTTCAAGCACCGAAGTGACAGCCACAACTGTTCCTTTCCCATTACTGCCATACGACAGCCTGAGAGATACTCCAGTCTACGCCAGCAGCTAGACACCAGCAAATGTCAGCTCATGCAACGGGGCGGCAGCTCGAGTGATCCAGAGTTGAATGAACTCTGGACCTGTAAGAGTGTGAGTGCAAAATCGCGCTCCTTCGTGGATGTATTTCGTGCATTTTGCTTACCTTGCTTCCTTTCTTCGATTCGCTTCACCTGATTCCATTGCTGAATTTTTTTTCTTCTGGCGGAGAGAATTCTTGTATCATGTTTCCTCACTATGCATAGTGGAAATTTCACAGAGCGGTAAAAAAACTCCTGTTCTTAGTGGCGATAGAAAAGCGACAATTGCGATGAGCCGGACCAAGTACATCAAAGCCTAATACTACTTCCACCTGTGGCAGCTGCATGGCTGTACGGTGTACAATAACATAAATCGTTCACTAACATATTTTGTGAAAATATGATCCTGCAAGGGGCCATCCGTATTTATCGATCTTTTTCACGAAACGAAAAAGTTTCATTTCTGGGTGGGTGGGTAGTGACCGTTTTTCTTTTTGAAAAAAAAACATCGAAAGCGGAAAAATCAACGCGCACTGCATGCATTGATGCATGCATACATTGTGTACTTCGAAGTAGATCGACAGTACGTCGCGCGGCCAGGCAAGTGCTGCATGGATGCAGTGATACCACTCAGTACTCAGTGCAGTTGTGAGTTCCTTTCGTCCTCGGATGACTTCTCCGACGAGGACCTAGCAGTCATTCGCTCTGGGACCGACGACAGAAAGATAAATACTTAGTTCCAGCCGCCGATGCAAGAGAATTTCAAATTACGGAGCGGAGCGCACGCCAAGTAAATTCTCACGCAAACATGGGGAGCGCCAGCCGCTGAAGACAATGTCGTCGTATTGTACCTGGACGAATCTGATCGTGCTTATGGTGGGGAAGCCATGGAGAGTGATCCCCGTGTCGACAGTCTTCCAGAGACGGAAATTTAGGACATCGAAATTCTACGTGCCTGATTTCCGGCAGCGCAGCGCGGCGTGTGTGCGACCTTACGGAGCTTTCCGACAGCGATTCTAGGGCAATGCTGCTCTCATTTGCGAGCGAGGCACGACCACTGATTCACTGAAGTCTGTGATAGCTATGGCGTTTGTTTCTGCTCCGAAGTCGACTTGTTTTGGCAGTATCATGTCAATGTCGGAACTCTGACAATTTGCATGTGTACTATTCCCGTGTTTAGACGTACAGGTGCCAATTATTTAGCAGGGTATGTGTGTGGTAGGTGAAAATAAATGTTTCCATGGTCAAGAAGTACCGGTAGTACCAGACTTCCAAGAAAACATAACTGACTTGCACAATCATACAAAATGTGGCCTCGCTGTGAATTATTGGCATCATTCAAAAATGTTATGGATTTCATATACAAAAGTACTTGGTCCGGCTCATCGCAATTGTCGCTTATCTATCGCCACTAAGAACAGGAGTTTTGTTACCGCTCTGTGAAATTTCCAGTAGGCATAGTGAGAAAGCATGATACAAGAATACTCTCCGCCACAAGAAAAATTTCAGCAATGGAATCAGGTGAAGCGAGTCAAAGAAAGGAAGCAAGGTAAGCAAAATGCACGAAATAAATCCGCGAAGGAGCGCGTTCTTGCACTCACACTCTTACAGGTTCAGAGTTCATTCACATCTCTGCATCACTCGAGATGCCGCGCCGTTACATGAGCTGACATTTGCTGGTGTCTAGCTGCTGGCGTAGATAGAGTATCTCTTACTTTCTCAGTCAGGCTGTCGTATGGCAGCAACGGGAAAGGAACAGCTGTGGCTGTCACTTCGGTGCTTGAAGGAACCGTGGGCAGTGTGACCTGTGTGTCTCCACAGCGTGTTTCAACAAAGCCTTCGAGGCATACGGGCCTCTCCAGACAGCTGTCATACGCTCCGCTGGATACGCTGACCACGACTCTTGTAACGCCGCTGCTACTACTAGTGCTAGGTCCACCAAGCAAGGAACAACAACCGTCGGCAGGGCGCATCGCATCAAAAATACCTTTCTTCTTCAGCATGACGCTCATGCGGCTCGTACTCCTCTGCCGTGCACGCGTGTGCCTGTCACGCTCTCCAGGATCGTCCTGGATGTCAGTTGCCCCTGCAACAGTTCCGGTCTTCGGGTCGCTGCGCGCTTGGCTTTTGGCAACACAGACAGTGAATGGCCAGATTCCCACTTCCCAAAAAAGTCGAACACATCGCGATTCAAAGTGCTAGTCGCGATCATTTTTCTTTGGTGCCTCCTTTGATCTTGCCATCACAACCTCCCAAGCAAAAGTAAGTTCGATATCGTGATCGGACTGGGTTTTACCTGTCAAAAGGTGCGTGGGAGATAAGCGACAATTGCGATGAGCCGGACCAAGTAACTATTACTTGCCGGTAAAGGGTTAATAGTGCTTGCATGTGAAGGATATGTGTGTGTTGTAACAGCCAATCAAGATCATTTTCTGCACAAAGTCTCAAGTCAATTAATTATTGTTTCGTTTCAGGGGGGTGGGTGGGTAGGGGTGGGTCATAACTAAACTTTTTCGTTTCGTGAAAAATATCGATAATTACGGATGGCCCCTAAATGAATAGGAATGTAAACGATATACCTGTGAAAACACAACCTTTAATGCTACTAACACAACCTGTGACTACAATAATCATGAGAACAACCCCAAAAAAATTCTTGCAGTTTACTTTCGTAGAGTTTCCAACATTGTGTTCCTTAATACAACTTGCAGCTTTCTTCAAAAATATCCTCAACCTTGGTTCTGTCCTAGATCGTATATACATGCATTCATTGTTTCGTCTTATCATTATGGAGCAGCTTATGCGAAGGCTAGCCAAGCTTGCATGGCGATGCCAACGCGGAAAAGCCTATAATAATAATAATTAGGGGTGAAACGAAAGTCTCAAATTCCCATTCGAACCTTCTATAATTAAAACGAACGAAGGTGTCGAAGGATTCTTTTCAACATGATCACGGAAACGCTCAAAAATCTTAAAAATAAAAGGGGACAAAAATCAGAATCCAATGCTTACATTGTATGTGCAATTTGTTTCTGAATCTGGTTGTGTGCTGGTATAAATGTATCCATTCGAGGTTAGAAAATACTTTGGCCCAGCTCGCCACTATAGATAGAGGCAAGGTTTTAACATACTCTTGATAGAGGCCATACCTAATATCAAGAGTGCATAAACAAGAGTATGCAACTGTGGTTATGGGTCAGTGCGCGGCGCGCTGCCTTCATTACGTAACTTGCCTTCATCACGCTCTGAAAGCATGCATCCAAACTCTCAATTTCTCACACGAGCCCATCCGTTTTTGCTCGATTCGTTCCAGTACCTACAAAATCTCTGAATTCTGGCGCGTGAACTCCAGTTCCGTACGAAAGTTCATTTCAAACTGGAGGGAAAGTGCGTTGTTTGATTTTCCGCAGTGCGCATACTGCAGCTGAATGATGTAATGAAGGCAGCGCGCAGCGCATCTGGCCCATAGAAAAGAGATCACAGTTGCATACTCTTGTTTATGGACTCTTGCTAATATCTATTTGTGAGTCCACTGTCCATATTTCTGACAATTTAGATCAGTGTACTTGGGATCGTGTACAGACTTGCTAGCTTTGGCCTTTTTGACACAAAGCGACAGGGGATCACTGCTCTAGTGTACAGCCAGTTGCGTGCTTGAACAATACCAAAATGGACGTTTCTCTTCCAACAACAAGGCCGCGAATTTACCAAGATGGACTTACTGAACACATTCACTGGCTCACATGCACTAACGACAGTTCACTTTTGTCCCAATGCAGTCCACAGACTTCTAGCTCGTCTTGAATTCCTCAAAAAGGCGACTGGACCCGACGGTGTTTCCGCTCCTGTCTTGAAGGAATGCGCCAGGGATACTGTAAAGACGGTATCTCAGCTCTTTGCTTCCAACACGGAGTTCTACCTGGAAAAGTCTTCCACAAGCGGCGTCAGATTCAGGTCATAAAGGGTGGGAGAGGGTACATGAGATCAATTAGCGAAATGCCAAATCCCGAAATCCCATTTGCCACATCTCAAAAGAACAGAACTACGCCAAAAAACGCGTTTTTACTGTACATGCACAACATGACTTACAGCTTTTGTAATTTGGTTGTGGCGCTCAACAGCCCGGCAGGTAGGTGAACAAGTTGATTACCTTTCAAATCTCTGGGAGAACAAAGTATAATTTTGATAGGATGTATATCACTTCCTGGAAGAATTTCGTATTACTCTATTTGGCGGCTCAGAGGAGAAAGACAACATGTTACGAGTTATGACTAGGGAATATTATTTTTTATCCAAAAGACACAAAGTCACACAATGAAAACCTTGGCAAATTAATTCCGTTGTGACTGAGAGTTTCATGGCTGAACCAATCATCAGACAACGATAATGGAATAGGAGGCTGCACTGGTATATCTATGTGGAGAGAGGTGTGATAATACGATAGCGAGAGGAGTAATCGCGTGAATGTATACAGGGATGTATACAGCTACAGCTGTATGAAGAACGTAGCGTCGATTATCAAAGGGCACAATGCTGCAAAACTTCACTCGCGACCGCCAGTTGTGCAATGCAATTGTCGGGTGTTGTGGGTGAGTGTATGTGTGTGTGTGTTAGTGTATGTGTGTATGTGTGTGTGGGTGTTACTATGTGTGTGCGTGTTAGTATGTGTGTGTGTGTGTGTGTGTGTGTGTGTGGTGTGTGAGCGAGATTAAGCGCATACTTGTTAGTGCTAGACCTGCGCCTACTGCATCTGCCTCTGAAATAGCCCGTCCCTGTATACATTCACGCGATTACTCCTCTCGCTATCATATTATCACACCATGAAACTCGGAGTCACAACGGAATAAATTTGCCAAGGTTTTCATTGTGTGCCTTTGTGTATACAGGGACAGGCTATTTCAAAGGCAGATGCAGTAAGCGCAGGTCTAGCACTAACAAGTATGCGCTTAATCTTGCTCACACACCACACACACACACACACACACACACACATACTAACACGCACACACATAGTAACACCCACACACATACACACATACACGCACACACTAACACACACACACACACACACACACACACACACACACACACACACACACACACACACACACACACACACACACACACACAACACCCTAACTTGCACACGGGCGCACGCTCACACAGACACCCACCCACCCACAACACCCTAAATCGCACACGCACAAACACACGCACACACGCATATACACACACATATAGACGCATGTCCACACGCATACACAGGCATCTGCGTTTGTAAGACAAATCTAAGCGCACACAAACTCCTGCGTCAAAAACCCGCAGCGGTCATAGCTGTCTATGTTATAGGGGTGGCGAGCAGAAACATTCTGCAATTGCGAGAAATTCTGTGTGACCCCTACAGCCCAGTACCTTGATTTAGTCCTGGATAATGATTTATCCTGGGCTCCACATGTGGAGTATATTGGTCGCAAGACAGCGCGAACAATTGGTCAGCTCTGGAGGCATGGACGAGGACTTAGTTTGCTTGTCCGGCAGAACATGGTTGCTGAGCATGATCCTTTCCCAGCTGTGTTATGGTTCAAACAGTTTCTTTCCAGGACCTAGCACACACCTGCTTGGTCCGTTTGAAAAGATGTTCAAGGCTGGCATCGGTGCAACCTTGCGACAGCGGCTCTTGCGGAGTCCAACCCTTCTTGATCAATTCTTCAAACCCTCCAACAGAGGTCTACGGTCATCCCTCCAACAGCGTAATCTCGTGCCCACAGCCCCTCTTCTATCCCTGCTTGTGTCCCCAGCCTACTGCACCGGCTAAATCAAACGTTTCTGGTCCTAGTTCATCGGTGCCTCCGACACAAAGCTAACCCCCTGCTTTAGGAGATGTTCACAGGCACGGCTCCAGTTGGCGCCCCCAGCAACATCCGGGCAACTTGAGGGCATCAGTCCAATCTGCTATGTGTGCATTTTCTCCGCAGTCCCTTCGGGCGACGTTCCATCTGGTTTGTGGCAATTGTCCAGTGGAATGCTCTTCCCGTCAGCGTCAGAACTGAGGGTGGAAAGTGGACCTTCCAGGCGCTCACACGCGCTCTAGATCCACGCGCACTAGATCATGGATGTTGCGAAACTCGCCACATCGGCAGGCTGCAGCGCTCCCTAATCCAGATCCACGGCCTTTCGCAGCTCATCCGCAGTTTGGCAGTTGTGTGCTACCAGTTGTCATTTCAGCAAGCTCCAAATGCTCTCGATCGGGTTTAGGTCTGGTGAACGAGCAGGTAGAAACGCAATGATCGGCATGCCGTTGTCGAGGATGTGCTGCTGCGCGTTAGGTGACAGAGACACAGTGCCGAGGACGTGCACCCTCGCAGGATGCTGTGCCTGCTCAGCAACAGGCACAGAATTGCGAGGAAACCAGAACATGATCCGACAGTCGGGGCCGGCAGCAAAACAAGCTTCGTCGGCGGATACTTTCCGGTCGAAGGCGTAGCCTTGGTGGAAGACAGCCCACGCAAGACGGTGGGGCTGGTGTGCCTTAGTGAGGACGACTTTCCTATGCGGACGCCCAAAGCGATGGGCTTCTGATAGGCGCCGTCTTACCTGCCTAGCACCTACTGATTCGGCTGCTGGACCAACATTAGCCAAATCGGCTGCTGCTTTCTCCCTGCTGGAATAGCGGTTGTGTTCAACAAACTGCTGGATGTGCTGAAGTTCGTCAGGGCCTAGTGTGGGCTGAGCGCCACTCCCCGCTTTCGTCTTCACTGTAACACCAGCTTTGACCTACTCGAGAGTAGTGTTTACCTGAACAATGCAACATAGAGAAATGCATATTTGAGTAAATGTCACTCTCATTTTGCTCGTATATCCATGGCTTTGATATTTTGCATGCTTACTGGGGTTTTCTTATAGCCAGTCAAGTCGTGAACGTGCCTGCTGCTCAGCCCAGATCGGTAGAGACACATGACGACTCATCACCTCCACCAAACCCACTGCGAAGAAGAGAGTCCTCTTTGTTGGAAACTTGATGCATGCAATTACTGCAGACCAGCTGAAGGAGTTCATCGCAGCAAGAGCAGGTGAGGCTGACCACAACATCCAAGTGTTTGACATAAATATATATTTTTTAATCCTCCACTGTGCGTATTGTTGCCAGTGCAGCAGACGAATTGTTTCTCATCAACAAGCTCTTCTGGCCCAGGGCTGTGTACACAAGAGAGTAAAACTTCGATAAGTACCAGGGGCGGATCCAGGAATTTTTCAGGGGGGGGGGGGGTTCAAATTTTTTCGAGTGCACTGAATTAAATTTGCTTCAAACGGTTTGCAAAATTAAAATCTTTATTGTCACGGTAGCCTTTGCATTGCTTGGCCAATAAGACACGGGTAATGCGTTTCGAGCCTTACAAAGTACAAAGCTGCAGCACAGGCAGAAACTAAGGCCGTGACTGCAGGATTTTTCAGAACTGACGGAAGGCGAAGTTCTCTGACCGTCCTCCGGCTGGGACTCCGTGTCGTCACATTCGCGCCGTCCACGGCGGAACGAAGCCAAGCTCAATGGCAAGTGATCGGCCGCTCGCATCTTTGGCAGACATCGCGACATGGCAAACCACACGACAAACACTAACATTATCTTCGTGACGGAGAAAACCTACACTCCAGCAGGCGCGAAATAAAACAAAACGACAAGGAAGGTAAGGAGGACAAGTGGCAGTTTTTCCACCTTTTACTTGTTGCACCACCACTTGAACTGTACATCGTTTCAAGTCACATGATACGCGTACAGACACTTCGATTCGAACGGTACGCGTACAACAGTCCCGACCACTGCATATGCGCATGCATGCAGTGACCTAGTGCGTACTGTACCTGCACTGCTTGTACCTGACACTGGCATGCATGCAGGATGCATGCCAGTGAAGTAGTCTACTAGTACTAGCTGCTGGCTACGCGGTACGCTACACTTCGCTGGCTGCGCACGTGGATACCACAAAAAAATCGACTGGACCCATGGTCGAAATTATTTTAGGGGGTTCGTCCAAACCCCCTGAACCCCCCCCCCCCCCCTGTGTCCGCCCCTGAGTACACCCAGTCTGATGCCCGTGGAGATCAACAACCAGCGCAGAGAGGACGCTTTGCGAAAACGAATTGTACAAGGCGAACGCCAAACTCCTACTGTACTCCTAATGCATGACATTGTGATAGACTAGTTGACTACAAAACAAGTTGTTTCACACGACGTACGTTTCGCCGTATGGTTCATGGCAGCTCATCAGGTGTGCAATTTGAAACTCGGATATTGCGCGAATAATAAATGTAGAAAGGACGAAGGACATATGGAAACGAGTTAAGAGTAACTCTGCACCACTGTAAATAGACACTAATTCGTTTTCGCAAAGCATCCCCCTTCTGTATCAATCTTTGATATTTCTCAGCCACCCAAGTTGAGTGGTGTGCTGCTTTGCTGCTTCGAATTGTAGTGAGACTGCTTTGTCAAATATTCTACTTGTCTCGTCATCGTCCAGTAACAAACGACACTCTTTGTTCCGTTGGGACTGTAGCTTGTGCTAATTTTCGTCGCACTTATCTTCCCCTCTTTGGTCTCTCCTTAACCTTGAACCTTCCGAGTTGGAATGCTACGGAAATGTGTTGAAGCTAGATGACAGGACGTCGAATGTCTCAGTACTCTGTCAGTTTTGTGCCTAGTTGTTGCACTTATAAATACAGCCTCTGTGCTACGCGTCCGAGTCCACAATGGAGGAAACAGTTCCGCAAGCAGATTAATTAATTACACGTTATAGTTACGGGGGAGGTTGGAATCCGCGAGCGGCAAAAAATAATGATATTTCATGATATCTACCCCAAACATGCACAGAAGGATGCTCAAAGGACTAGTTTTAAATTGAGGAATGAGCCACCTTAAAGCTTGCGAGAGGGCCGCAAGTTATGAGAACTCGGAGACTCTCACGTTTCTCTTCCAACAAATGCAGTGTACAAGGCCTTGAACTTACTACGATGGACTTACTGAACACAGCATCCACTGGTTCACATGCACTAAGCACAATTCACTTTTGTCCCAGTGCAGTGTCGTTGAAAACAGAATTCAGGTTTTGCAAATGTGCATGGCAACTACGAATACGGCCGGTAGCTTGGCGTACGGGTGTGTTCGCGCACACGTGCATGGATCATGGAATCAAGGGAAAAAATGTGTACCTGGCAAAACATGTGTACATTGCAAAAAAATGTGTACCTGACGGATTCGGAGCGTGCTACGAATGAAGAGGCTTCCATTCGTGAAAACGAGCTATCCGCGGGGACTCTGACGAATCCTCGAACACAGGTGACGAATCAGCATTCGTTTTGTATCCGTACGCGTGGTGCAAAAGGTCCCTATTATCCGTCCGATATCAACTGATCATCACACAACGAGATGCCACCAGGTATTGGCGGATATTGCTCGAAAAGGTGGCAGATTCTACTCGAAAAGCAATGAAATTGGAAGAACGATACAAACCTAATGGCGGGCAATTCCTCGAATTCTGCTCCATTCCTTTATCCACTTACAAAACATACATGAAACTTACCAGAAAAAGTACAGAATTCTGCCAATTATTCTACCGGCATTATCCGCATTTTGCCTAGATGCCACATCCCGAAATCCCATTCGCCTCATCCTAAAAGAAGAGAACTACGCCAACAAAAACGCCTTTTTACGATACACGCACAACAAGACTTACAGGTGTTCTAATTCGGTTGTCGCATTGAACAGCTCGGCTGGTAGGTAAACAAGTTTATTATTCCACAAACTCCTGGGAGAACAAAGCAGATTTTTGATAGGATGTAAATCACCTCCTAGAAGAATCTCTTTATACCGTGCTATATGCATTTGCACCTCTCAAAAGAACAGAACTACTCAAACAAATCTCTTTTCCAATACATGCACACCATGACTTACAGGATTCGTAATTTGGTTGTAGTGTTGAACAGCCCGGCAGGTAGGTGAACAAGTTGATTACCGGTCAAATCTCTAGGACAACAAAGTAGAATTTTGATAGGATGTGTATCACTTCCTGGAAGAAAATCTTTTTATTCTATTTTGCGTACTAGTTTGTAGTTGGAGTGTGGGTTACAATGAGGGCTGTGTCCCACCCGCCTATGTAGATTCACACAAAGTGTGAGCTACGAAGTCTGAAGAAAATGTTGAAGGCTGAATTCGTCGGGAATGGATGTGTTAGTGCCTCTACAGCGTGCAAGTAAATGTACATCTATGGAGGTGCACGTCTGGATGTGCAGCAAAGGCTCTCTAACGTAGGGCTCTCTAACGTAGGGTTGCAGCTTTTGGCTGTTGTGCAGCGTGGCTTTGCGTTGTGAGAACTAACTACTTGCACTGTATCCCTATTGTACTTGTACTTCCTGTGAAATATCCGTCTTTTCTTTTCTCTGTTTATTCTCTTTACCAGGCGTGGGCCATCCCCTGGACTATCAAAATGGGTGCCTTATTATTTTTCTGTTTCTGTTTTAATGACAGTTCATTGCAGATTACAATAAAATCACATCTATACTGTGATTTCAAGTACTGCTTTGAGCCGAATTCTGCCTTTTAAGCTGATAATATGGCCGAATTTGGACATTCTCATAGCCAATCGAAAAGCCGATTAGGCGCAAAATTGGGCCGATTTGGGAAATGCCTAGCTGGTGCTCATGGTCAATGACACTACCGTGCTCGCTGAGAGTTCTGGGGTTGGTCAAGGGGATATTACGCTGTGGAAAACAGAGAGCAGATTCGGAGGACCAGGCAAGCAGTCCAGCTTGTACGGGCAGGCAAGCGGGGCAACAGTACAGCGGGTGGCCAGCATGGTTAGATGTCCACCAGGGCCGATAGTACCCAGTGCGTGGCGCTGAACATTGTTCAAGCGCTGGAGGTGACTCTGCACAGCTCCCATCCACAAAAGACGCGAATACTCCATGACTGGTGGTACGAACGCCTTATACACGGTCGTCCTGCCGGCGCAGGTGAGGATGTGGGCGGCTCTGTTTACGACCCCAAGCTGTTGGCGTCCACGGGTGGCTACGGAGCGTAGTTATTTTGTAATTATCATTTAAAGGGGTCAGCCTACCCATAAATTTCATATGGCATTCAATCGACAGTAACTTTGGTGTCCCTCAATGGATTTGAGTTAAAATTTGACCGCAGACTCCTGCCACTATTCTGGCCCTCTGGACATGAGTTAAAAGTTCTTACGCCTCGCTCACAGACTTTCCACGCCAAAATTCCAAAATCCGGCATAGTGCCACGTTGTGCGAGCCACCCAGGAGCCAAAAGAATGCATTTACAATTTTTCAACATTTTCGTGCCCATTCTGTCCGTGCGCGGGATCCAAACCTAAAACAAGTCCAGAAGCAGCCATGGGCGGTGGGGTAGGGCCCCTCGACGGGGCCCTGGAATATGTTACAACTGCAGGGATCGATTTATCCGGGTTCGCATCGCAGTTTGCGAATCAAAATTCACTGGCTGCGATTCGCTTTTCGTTTTTTATCGCCCAAAACTGCGATGCACTGCACTACAAAGACCAGTTGTGTGCAGTATACATGCGACTGTTGTACACACTGCTGACTAGGGTCCAGGAGTAGTATTTTACTACTCCAACCAACTGGCCTGTCCTGCTCAGTCCACGCGGGTCGCGGACTCGCGGATCGCACTCTTTTGATTTTGGACACTGCACTAGCACTGGTCGTACATGACTGCAGTCTTCTCAAGTTTTGTACACGGCGGTGACTTTTCATGATGTTCCCCTTTCTTTTTTCACTGTCAAGCTCAGTTTGTTTCTGTTGGACAAGGCACAGTTGAAGTAGATGGTTCTTAGTCTCATGTAGCCAACATGTCAGTGAATCTGATCAGTGATTCACTGTCCAGAAGAGGGACAAAGAACTGGACGCGCCAGGAATGTCAATTCGTTTCGATGAAGAAAAGGAGAAAAGCGAAATTCGATGCGCTTTGCACGAAATGTCACGATCGTTTGAGCGCTTTCTTTGTCGAAGGAATCAGTGGAACTGCCCTGTTGAAAGACATTGTGTTGTGAAGAACTCGAAGACGGATGGACGCTGAACATGTAACGTGCCCAAGCGAAAACTCTAACGTAAATATTCAGGTCGAACATTCGCTTGGAAAAGCAAATAGCAACTGCAGCTATTGTCCTCTTCTGTACAAAATCCTGCTATTGTACAGCTATACATGTAAACTTTTGATGAAGGAAAACTGCTGATCAATACTGGGAGTTGCTAGTCAATTGTAAAACTGTGTAGCAGTGACTGCTATGCAAAAAAATCAAAGTAAATCGATCCCTGAACTGAACGAGTGGGCGTTCTCTCACAGATCCCAACAAACCCAAGTCAATTTAGATATTTTAAGGTTTAGCACGTGCTACGAGGTGGTACCTTTGATACAACATCTAGCACTTGGACCTCCACAGCAAGCCATTTCCACAGCGCTGCACACCAAATCCAGGATACCCTCAAAAAATGGCAAAGACTACCACTCGCGTTCCACTACTGCCTAGTACTGAATCCTACCTGACTTCTTGACACGACTCAAACTTGCCAAAGTCACTAAATCAACGTCAACTACAATAATCAAGCCACATATCTGCAACGTCACACACGAGGGTGCCCGCCGCTGTCCAGCCCAATACTTGGCTAAAAAACGTGTTTTTGGACTTGGAGCAAAATTCTGCACACTTCCGCGTGTTTCCATGATACGACAAATTGCGCACGGTCTGCTCACATTCAAATACAGTGCTGCCAAAAAATGACAGCGAGCATAAAAAACATCTTTCCTTGCAAGGGCACACTTTCGGCAATAACTCTTGAACGGCTGGTCAGATCGAGACAAAATTTTCAGAGATTTTGCAGCTATTCATGCTCTTTCAACTGACGTAGTGTAGCGTATAGCATGTCTCCGTTCGATAGCGTATCCCCGTACATTAGCATATGGAGTCTGCCTGTGCATTAAAGCTGCTGTTCACGATTCTTTTGAGCCAGTTAATGTCATTGCCAGTTATAGTTACATTTCAATTGCCAGGTACAGTGTGTTCACTGAGACCCTTGTGCATTCTTGCCTCCGAGAGACTGCGGCCCGCTACAAATTGGTGGCAGCGGTAAATTCGTTTTGTTTCATTCTATACCTAACTTTGTTACTTTACACATTCTCCGATCCGATGGCCCAACCAAATGTACCTGCTGTGGTACTCGTCGCTGCGCCCGCTGCAGCCCCAGCTCCGCCCGCTCCTGCTCAACCACCGAGAGGGGCGTACCATGTGCAGCCCAAAAAATACAAGGGTCGCCGGGAGATCAACTTCGCGCCCTGGCTGATGCATTTCGATCAGGTGGCCGCGGTAAACAACTGGAACCCCGCTCAGCAGACGCAGTTCCTGGGTCTCGCACTGGAAGGCGAGGCCCAGCTGTATTACCAATCGCTCCGAGCGGCCACTAGGAACGGAGGCCGCCAACAGCTAGTCCAGGCGCTGCAAGCTCGGTTTGATCCAGCGCAACGCGTTGACCTCCATCGCGCAAAGTTTCAAGCTCGTCGCCAGGCCAAAGACGAACAACTGGGTACTTTCTGTGAGGCGGTTTGCTCCCCGGCCCGGCAAGCTTACCTCCAGATGGCCACGGGGTACCTCGACAGCCTGACAAAAGACCAGTTTATCTCCGGGCTTGACTCATGGGGCATGCGGGTCCGCGTTCGGGAGCTAAACCCGCAAACGACAGACGGGGCCCTCCAGGCTGAGTGAGCTGTCTGAGTGTGAGAGGCTGAATGAGCCATATGAGGAGCCTGGTAACGAGGTTGACTCCCCAAATAGAGAACCTCCTATTCACTGTTAACTGTAGAGGGGGTGCCACAGATTGTGGACAACACAGTAAGATCGGGCGCCGAAGAACACCTCGCCGAAGAACACCCAGGCTGGACAACCCGCAAAATTTAAGAACAGTCCAGGCTAGAATTATCAGATTTAAGAACACACTACATTGTACATGTATGGGAGGTGAGTACATGTCATGTACACGTGTAAACAGTAACTGCTACATGTACACTCATTCCCAATTACGACACTCACTAGTTTAGAAGTACTACATTGCACTACATGTACATATACATGTACATGTACATGTACATGACAAACGTCATGACGTCACTCGACTCGCCGTGCGCGGGTGAATAAGAACGGTCGGGCTAGAATCAAAAATTAAAGAACTTTCCTAGGCTGCGCTCGAGCCCCTGCTTTCTTCGGCGCCCGATCTTACTGTAGTAGAGTGATATTGCGTTACTGAGTGTACTTCCTCCGCGTCATCGAAATTGTCGCAGTTTAACTAGTGACTTGTCACTTGTTACTGACAACTCCATAACCTAAACCATTCAAAACTTATTACACAGTATGATAGTCTGAAGACTAGAGTAACGTTCCAGGACAGTTGGACTGAGAGTTTTCATGCAGAGATGAAGTCCTCGTCGTCCCTGATGTCAATGGACGCAAAATTATCGTTCCGAAATATTTCAAGGAAGGTTCAAAGTTGGTCGCGCCTCATCTCAAACGCTTTGACATTCTCCACAGGACAAGAGCTGCTATGCTTGTCGTCTGCTAGCTCTGGATGATTTCTACTTCTCCACCAACGAAGCCTAGTAAGAATACACGATCGTTGCGAGGTCGGTTGATTACCGTCGGCGGTATCACCTCGATCTTGAAATGAACTTTTTTTAGCCGTGGCATGCCCATTTTAGCTGTGTGGTCACAGCTCATGCAGGTAAGTGTACTATCACGTCCAGCGCGCCCTCTTTTTCAGCATCACTGCTCGGCCCTGATTCACTGGTATCATGGTACGGCACCTGCGCGTGCATCACTAGCACTATGTGTATAGTCTGCAAAAGTACACGGCTCTTGCAGGTACAATCATGTACTAGTAGTAGTACTGAGTGTCTCGGCCAGAGCGACACATTTTATCGCTGTTGCAGGCATTTAGTTTGCTGACCCCTCG